AGACCGCTGCCTCACATGTTTCATCATACAGGCTCATCTACCACACAGGCTAACCTGTGGGAAACAAAGTGCATTTCCATGTGCCCCCTCTTTTGTGTCAGAGCGACTAATAAGCAATGCTGGGTAGCATTTAAGCCTTATTCACCTTGCCCAACTGACATATGTTGAGAAGAAGAAGGGGAGGTTGGATTTATACCCCCCATTCACTACCCAAGGGAGTCTCAGAGTGACTTACAAACTCCTTTCCCTTCCCCTCCCCACAACAGACACCCTGTGAGGTAGGTGGGGCTGAGAGAACTCTGACAGAGACTGCTCTTTTTCAAGAATAGCTGTGCCAGAACTGTGGCTTGCCCAAGGTCATTCAGCAGGTGCAAGTGGAGGAGTGGGGAATCAAACCCGATTCTCCCTTATTAGTCTGCCAGTTTGGTGTAGTGGTTAAGTGCGTGGAAATATAAAATTCATGGTTTTATAAACCAGTTAGCATATAAAATTGTAATAACTGGCATATTCCAGAAATTGTAAAGTTTACATGTCCAAACAGACTATAAATGAACACCTTAGGTAATCCCCAGCACACGCAACAACAGTGACACATTCTGCTTAGACTGCAGGGTCAGAGCTGAAGGATGATGAGGCTAGAAATGTAAAATTTCTGAAGCTGTCGGAAGAAAAAAGTGGTTTCCCAGAAAAACACAGAGAACTGTTGGCAGAAACACTATAATACATGCAGTGCAAGACTTACTTTCTTATCTAACCAAGACTTATTTTGCTACTTTAGAAATATAAAATTCATGGTTTTATAAACCAGTTAGCATATAAAATTGTAATAACTGGCATATTCCAGAAATTGTAAAGTTTACATGTCCAAACAGACTATAAATGAACACCTTAGGTAATCCCCAGCACACGCAACAACAGTGACACATTCTGCTTAGAATGCAGGGTCAGAGCTCCACCCAACTGAGTCACTGGCAGTGCTGTGGGGGCTTGGCTTCTTCCACGTGTGATTGGCCAAGTACAACTATTTTGCCATCCCCCCCCCATTTAGTTTCCTGGTGCACCAACAGGCTTATCACAGGTAGATGTTTCCTTGTTTCCCCCAGAACGTGGACCAAAAAATGGTTGTATACTCGCCAATGAGGGCTCAAACTCTGCTTAGGATGGTACTGTGAGTGACTTTGGTCCAGTCCATTCTCTGATCTCAGGGGACTGTTGTGAGGGTAAAAAAGGGATGAGCGCAGATCCTGCCTTGAACTTCTTGGCAAAATGGCAGGATAAAAATACGATCGGTCGGAAATGTGTAACGTACGCATCACACACTGTAAACTATGTTAAGTATGCTTTATTAGATTAGGTACTTATTTTTAATTTAATCTCATATTTAATCATTAGAGATGACTTGGAAACGCCAGTCGGTATAGCCCAGTTACCACAGCACACCGGGCAGAACACGCGTCACACCCATTCTGCAGACACCACAATGGTTACCAATACCAACCACTTATCCGAGTTCAATTCAAAGTTCTGGTTACTACCTACAAAGGTCTTAAGAGCCTTGGGCCCACAAACCTGCAAGACCTTCTTTCCCACTGTGTTCCAGTATGACAGCTTTGCTCATCCAAGCAAAGCCTTCACAAGGTGCTACCCTGCAACTGGGAAAGATTGGCAGCTACCTGTTCGTTCCCAGTGGTGGCTCCTACCTCATGGAACAGCATGCCTGAGGTGGTCAGGAAGGCTTCCACACTTCTGTTTTTCTGCAGAACATGCAAAACCAAAACCTTCAAGAATCCATTTTCATAAAGGGAATGGACCAGTACAGGAGGGTGCCTTTATATTGGAATAGGATTGTAGACCACAGCAATGATTGCTGTAGGAATCACCTGCTCACCTATGCGGTCCTGCTGATAGCCGTCTAAGGGAGATACCGGAAACTGCCGTCCAAGAAACATCAGAGACTACGGAAGAAGACGCCGAGCCAGAACAACAACAACATGATCCACCACCTGGGTGCCGGTAGGCTGCCCCGTCCCCAGAAAAACATGTGGCCCAAGTTAGGTTTCAAAAAATTCTTAGAACGCATCATGTAAACCACCCAGAGACCCTTCGGGGTTAGGGCGGTATAGTAAGTCTAAAGTAATAAATAAATAAATAAATAAATAAAGGGAATGGACCAGTACAGGAGGGTGCCTTTATAATGGAATAGGATTGAGGACCACAGCAATGATTGCTGTAGGAATCACCTGCCTTTACTGCATTGTCTTATACCTTGTAATCCCCTGTCTGTACTGTTTATAGTATACCTGGCCTTAGATAGGCTGTTAGTTTACATTGTTCTCTGATACTTTAATCCTAGCCTTATTGCATTGTTCACTGGTTGATTTATACTGACTGCACTGTCTTATAGCCTGTAATCCTCCTTGAGTCTCAGCAACCGAGACAGAATATAAATTAAGTAAACAAACACATTTATACAGCCCATAAAATGAATGCACTTTTTAAAAAGTTTATTGAATATAAACAATCATGTGGAAGAAGATCCCAATTCATTTAGGGATTCATAACCTTTCCAGAAAGTATGTTATCACTGGTTACTGGTTACTTCAAGCTGGTAACTGGGAAGTAGCTTAGCTGGCTACTTTATCACCTTTACTTCTACAAGTAGAAGTAAACTAGCTCTCAGGATCCAAGGGTTCGCCACACATGGCCAGAAAGAGGCCTAAAACTACTGCTGAAATGGGAGTGACCAGTACAACATTATGGGCCCCAAAATCGAACCTTCACCTGTTAAAATTGCCAAATGGTTCGTTCCTTTCTCCCCCATGGGAACCTGAAGTGGTTTTCATCAGAGTTCCCCAACTTTTTTGAACCTGTGGGCACATCTGGAATTCTGACACGGCAGGTGGGCGCAGAAATAAAATGGCTGCCGCAGGAGGCAGAGCCTTCCGCAAAACAATTGCCACAGTTTAACTTCAGTAACACAGTGCACATCCTTAAGCTGTGGGGGCTGATGCTGCCAAAGCAACATCTTAAAAAATCTGCACAGCCCATAAAATCTCCAGTAGCCAATCAGAAACCTTGCTGGGCAAAAGCCCTACCTGGCCCCGCCCACTTCCTTAAAACACTTGGTGGGCACTAGAAAAGGTGCCAGCGGGCATCATGGCATGCACAAGCACCACACTGGGGACCCCCGGCTTACATCGGTCCCCTCTGTGTCCTCGCAACAACCCTGTTTTTTGTATGAAGGATTTGGGTTTTCGAAAGTGCCAGTTTATGATGCACAACAGAACAAGTCTTTTGAGAATAAGAAAACTTATTGGGGAAGGGGGCTCCAAAATGGTGAGATAATGAAAAGCCAAATTCAGCCCTATCTTTATTTTCCTAAATGGGAACTGGGATGCATTTCCTATATTACACCTAAAACGCATGAAAGGTATGAAGATTGCTTCTCCCCCACTGAGACTCCCCACCCTAGTAAGACCAACAGGGAGGTGGCCTCACCAATCTCTTCTTCTTCTTCTTCTGTGAGTGACTTTGGTCCAGTTCATTCTCTGATCTCAGGGGACTGTTGTGACGGTAAAAAAGGGGAGGAGCGCCGATCCTGCCTTGAACTTCTTAGCAAAATGGCAGGATAAAAATACGATAGATCGGAAGTGTGTAACATACGCATCACACACTGTAAACTATGTTAAGTATGCTTTATTAGATTAGGTATTTATTTTTAATTTAATCTCATATGCCCTTAGAGATGACTTGGAAACTCCAGTCGGTATAGCCCAGTTACCACAGCACACCAGGCAGAACACACGTCACACCCATTCTGCAGACACCACAATGGTTACCAATACCAACCACTTATCCGAGTTCAATTCAAAGTTCTGGTTAGGTTGGGCACGTCATCCCAGTTATTACTTGCTATTGCTGCGCACAGCCGGAGAAGATGCAAGACAACCAGCATACTGATATACTGCCTGGGAAGCCTAAGATCAAGGGGGACATCCATTCATTACATCTGCTCTGAGTTTTCAACAGATTAAAATGCTAGGGGCATATCCACAGAGTGCAGCCATCCAAAGAATGAACTCATGACATAAAAACCATCCTCACACCAACAGTGAAACGGTGTTTCAATTTACCTTCCTACTAGCCCATAATGAATGGAATTGCTTTTTAAAAATATGATGTGGCCCATTCCTTACATCTTGCAACTCTGAATTACTTCAACTATGAGCTGACATGTACCCTTAAAGCATGACTATGTTAACAGTCCATCCTTAATCTTATCCGAGAATGTTCTGTAATGACCACGCCTTCACTCCATGTTGAAGCTCCAACCGGTCCACAAGCTGAGATCATGCCCTGAATGCACAAAATGTAGTTGCACTTAAGTTTTAGAAAGGACCACACTTCCTCCACTGCTTACACAGCACAAAGACACCAGACGGTCAGTGCAGGAAATTGCAGTGCAAGACAGGCACCGTTCTCTCAAAAGAAGACCTCTATCTTAGGATTCCTCCTGACATTCACAGATCAAGCAGCCCTTTCTTGCCACACAGCCATCCTGCACGCACAAATCACACAGCTCCCAGGACCCAACCCGTAGCATCATCAAGTGAGGAGGCTCAGAACAGTATGACTTGATTTCAATCATTTTAGCAATCCGAGCACTAAACCTATTCACTGGATTTGATAACAGGGGCCCTCCCTGTGCTGCGACACTGAATCCCATAAGCTTGATACCGGGCTTCCCTTTGCCCCCCACTCCTCGCCATTGGGACAAAATCACTAATCGGCTTCCCCAATGAAAATGGGGGCGAGGGACTGGTATCCCTCGTCCTGTAGGGCCCACCGTCGGCGCACGTGTCGAGTCATAACAGGGTCACGGAAACGCGTTTCGATGTCATTTTGGCACTTGCCGCGTCGCCTGCGGCTAAAAGAAGGGAAGAAGCAACAGGAAGGTGTCGCGAACGGGCGTGCGTGGAAGCAGGCGGGCGACCACTCACCGAGTTCCAGGGCCTGGTTGTACTTCTCCAGCGCGGCCGCCAGCTCTTGCCTCTCCCACGCCGCGTCCCCTTCGGCGCACAGCCGGCGCGCTCGGCTCTCGTCCGGGAACCACTTCTCCAGCCAGCTGCCCAGGACCACGTTGGCGCGGAGGCTGGCGGGCGGTTGGGCCGCCGCGCCGGAGCCCGGGCCCGAGCGGCGGGCTGCGCAAGGGGCGCACTCCCCTCCGCCGTTGAGGGCGCAGCGCTTGCAGTGGGTGTGCCCGCAGTGCAGAGTCACCGGCTCGCAGAGCAGCCGCAGACACGAAGGGCAGCCCAGGAGCTCGGGCGGGCGGCAGCAGGCGGGGTCCCCCAGTGGGTCGGCCCCCTCGGGCCCCGGCCAGGGCGGCAGCCGCAGCTCTTTCTCGCGGAGGGTGAGGGCGAAGCTCTCGGCCAGCTCCCGCAGCTCCTCGGGCCGCAGCCGGGCCAGCCCGGCGGCCGCGCTGTAGGACTCCAGCGCCTCGGCCATGCGTCCCGCGCGGGCCAGCGCATCCCCCTGGCGCAGGCACAGGCCTCGCTCGGGCTGATGCCTTTGAGGTGCTCCTGGACTCGTGCTCTTACCAGTGAGACATGGTTGGCTTCTTTGGAGGCCTTCAGTGAAAGAGAATAAGAAAACTTATTGGGGAAGGGGGCTCCAAAATAGTTGGTGAGATAATGCAAAGCCAAATTCAGCCCTATCTTTATTTTCCTAAATGGGAACTGGGATGCATTTCCTATATTACACCTAAAACGCATGAAAGGTATGAAGATTGCTTCTCCCCCACTGAGACTCCCCACCCTAGTAAGACCAACAGGGAGGTGGCCTCGTGGCATATCTATGAAAGGTGAAAAGTGCCCATCATAGTACCCCTACTCTGGTACTCATCAAGTCTCGAAAGAGAGGGCCCCCCCAACAGCCTTCCAGGCAATCAAGCTGACCTGTGAAACTTCACAGTGCAATGAGCAAGTGCCAAGCCCTAGGAGCCTGGCATTCCGCAATACTCCCAAGTCTTCCCCCCCCCCCCCCCATTCACTCCAAGATAAATGTAAAAGCCAAGTTACCAGCACACTTTTGAGTCTGTCTGTTCAAATGTGCACTTATAAGGCACAGTACCAAACAGGATACAATTAAAAGCTACTGCAGCAAATTATGTAATGGGTGACACTGCCCTGAATTGCTTAAAAAAAGAGAGAGAGCCTAAGGTAAATAAGGGAAGGAAGAGAATTGTTCGTTCTTGATATTCAGATAAAGAGTGCAAGCAGTGATCTAAACCCAGACTGCACATGTTTTAAAGGCTCTGCCAGGTTGGGCACGTCATCCCAGTTATTACTTGCTATTGCTGCGCAGAAGATGCAAGACAACCAGCATACTGAGAAGATGCAAGACAACCAGCATACTGATATACTGCCTGGGAAGCCTAAGATCAAGGGGGACATCCATTCATTACATCTGCTCTGAGTTTTCAACAGATTAAAATGCTAGGGGCATATCCACAGAGTGCAGCCATCCAAAGAATGAACTCATGACATAAAAACCATCCTCACACCAACAGTGAAACGGTGTTTCAATTTACCTTCCTACTAGCCCATAATGAATGGAATTGATTTTTAAAAATATGATGTGGCCCATTCCTTACATCTTGCAACTCTGAATTACTTCAACTATGAGCTGACATGTACCCTTAAAGCATGACTATGTTAACAGTCCATCCTTAATCTTATCCGAGAATGTTCCGTAATGACCACGCCTTCACTCCATGTTGAAGCTCCAACCGGTCCACAAGCTGAGATCATGCCCTGAATGCACAAAATGTAGTTGCACTTAAGTTTTAGAAAGGACCACACTTCCTCCACTGCTTACACAGCACAAAGACACCAGACGGTCAGTGCAGGAAATTGCAGTGCAAGACAGGCACCGTTCTCTCAAAAGAAGACCTCTATCTTAGGATTCCTCCTGACATTCACAGATCAAGCAGCCCTTTCTTGCCACACAGCCATCCTGCACGCACAAATCACACAGCTCCCAGGACCCAACCCGTAGCATCATCAAGTGAGGAGGCTCAGAACAGTATGACTTGATTTCAATCATTTTAGCAATCCGAGCACTAAACCTATTCACTGGATTTGATAACAGGGGCCCTCCCTGTGCTGCGACACTGAATCCCATAAGCTTGATACCGGGCTTCCCTTTGCCCCCCACTCCTCGCCATTGGGACAAAATCACTAATCGGCTTCCCCAATGAAAATGGGGGCGAGGGACTGGTATCCCTCGACCTGTAGGGCCCACCGTCGGCGCACGTGTCGAGTCATAACAGGGTCACGGAAACGCGTTTCGATGTCATTTTGGCACTTGCCGCGTCGCCTGCGGCTAAAAGAAGGGAAGAAGCAACAGGAAGGTGTCGCGAACGGGCGTGCGTGGAAGCAGGCGGGCGACCACTCACCGAGTTCCAGGGCCTGGTTGTACTTCTCCAGCGCGGCCGCCAGCTCTTGCCTCTCCCACGCCGCGTCCCCTTCGGCGCACAGCCGGCGCGCTCGGCTCTCGTCCGGGAACCACTTCTCCAGCCAGCTGCCCAGGACCACGTTGGCGCGGAGGCTGGCGGGCGGTTGGGCCGCCGCGCCGGAGCCCGGGCCCGAGCGGCGGGCTGCGCAAGGGGCGCACTCCCCTCCGCCGTTGAGGGCGCAGCGCTTGCAGTGGGTGTGCCCGCAGTGCAGAGTGACCGGCTCGCAGAGCAGCCGCAGACACGAAGGGCAGCCCAGGAGCTCGGGCGGGCGGCAGCAGGCGGGGTCCCCCAGTGGGTCGGCCCCCTCGGGCCCCGGCCAGGGCGGCAGCCGCAGCTCTTTCTCGCGGAGGGTGAGGGCGAAGCTCTCGGCCAGCTCCCGCAGCTCCTCGGGCCGCAGCCGGGCCAGCCCGGCGGCCGCGCTGTAGGACTCCAGCGCCTCGGCCATGCGTCCCGCGCGGGCCAGCGCATCCCCCTGGCGGAGGCACAGGCCTCGCTCGGGCTGAGGCAGCTCGGCCAGCTGCGAGGCGAGGATCTCGGCCGCCAGCGCGAACTGCCCACCTCGGAAAGCCTCCTCGGCCACTTGCAACATCTCCGGGCAGGGACCCCCGCCGCCGGACGGGGCCTGCTGGAAGTGGGCGCCCCCCAGCTCCATCTTCCCGGACGGACGCGCTGGCTGGGGTGGGTGTGGTGGCCGCGGCGGCGGCGGCGCTGCTAGGTTTCCATCGCCTTGCGCAGCCTCTCGGCGGGCTGGGAGAAAGGGAGGGCGGCACCCCCCGCCGGCTGCAGCCTCACGGAGCCCCCGCTGCCGCCGCCACCAACGCCGCCATGCTCGGCGAGCGGAGCTTTCGCCAGGGCGCGGAGGAGGACCCCGTCAGGCGCAGCCGGGGCGCGGAGTGCTCTGGCGAGGCGGCCCGCTCTGTCTGGGGCGTCCCCGCCGGAGATAGCGTCGGGGTCAGGGGGAGGAGACCGAGGCGGCGCTTGCCCCCCTCCTGCAGCCGCGGCTGGGACTATTCTCGGCTCCGGCGCTTATGCAACGCCCGGCGGTTGTATAACCCCTTCTCCCCGGCGGAGGGCAGCACCGCCCGACGGAGCGCCGGCCCCGGCCTGGTGAGGCCAGCGCACATGCCGCCAGCTCGCTGCACCGCCCGCGGCGCACGTGTGTCGCCGGACAGGCCGGCGGGTTCGAGGCTTTCTCCTTGCGTCCCGCCAGGGAGGTCTGCGGGGGAGAAGGGGGGAAACGGCATGGAGCTGATACGGTCCTTTGTTGTCTCCGCGTGGGCGGCGGGGCCCTCCCTCCTCGCCTCGCTCCCCTCCTCCCACCCCCCCACCACAGGGATGGAGCGCTGACCGGGGGGGAGGGGGAGGATTGTGTTTGTGTATCAGGGATAAATAGGACGACCTGCATTTATGTAACGCTCTATATTCAGACTATGAGATCCAAATTCAAAACAGCTCGTGGCTTTGCATCTGATCAAAGTGGCTCCGGCTCTAGGAAGCTTTCCCCGCAGGGAATCTCGTCATCTGTAAGGGACCACGAGGCGGCTCGAACCTTCACAGCCACCCGGCAAAGTCCTGATGGACCGAGGTTCATGGTGCGCCGCTTCTCCTGAGTACACTTTGCTCGTGGTCTGGGTCAGGAGCAGAAAGAGACGTGGAAATGACCCTGGAGCAAGCCAGGATGAATGGGGTCACGGTGGGCATCCCTTCACCCATTGCTTCCTCCCTCCCACGAACTGGTGTCCGTGCAGCAGCAGACAGTTACCACTGGCAGGGGGAGGCCTGACAGGCAGGTGTCCCCTGAGGCATTGGCAGAGCGGAACTGGCAGAGCTGCTAGTCTTGGATGTGCTTACTCCTGGCCATAGGCGGTTCTCTGGCAGAGAGAGGCCCACTGAGAAATTCCCTTGTACATGAAATAGCCAGTGTGCCACTGGTTTGGGTGCCCTCTCCCTGGATCCTAGCACACTACAATATGGTGTGTATCAGTAGTTTTTCATCTTCAGCAACCCAAGAATCCCCATGTTAATTTCGAGGTCTTTTGCAGACTCTTCTTCCTTCTGTGCCAGTTAGACACTCTGGCCAGTCCCTTTTCAAAGCACATGTCCCTTTGTCCTTAAAAACATACAGCTTCACTTTAAAGGCAAACATTTTTAAAATGTTAGATTAACTGCAGATGGCCTACGCTATAAGGTCAGGTCTCGGAGCCTAGCTGATTCCATAGAGCCCTGCTTCAAAGTCCCTGACCCAAATTCTGATCTAATCCTTTGATAGGAAGGGGAAACAGCAAGAACCTTCCTTATTGGTCAATACATTTTAGATAGAAGCCAGATGAAAAGAGGTGGTGAGAAAGAGCCTTGGAAAAACTTTCAGAGCTACTCAGAAAGAGAAAAAGACTAGCACCACACAAACCTCAGCTTCCATCTTTTACATTAAATTGAAAACTGCAGTGGAATATTATTGTATATGGACACAAAATAGTGTATGTCTACGGTGAAGTCCTATGCACTGGAAAATAGTATGGTAAACTATTTCAGTTTTGTACCTGGAGGTACTGTGATGACTGCATTAGGCCTGTATGTCCTTGCTGCGGTCAGCCAATTAGAGTTTGTGAGGCTGAGGTTTTGGTTCCCAGTGACCAATTAGCACATCTTTAAGCTAGCATTATGATGTGAACTGGAAGCTTGGTGGCAGCAGCTGGATGAGCTCCTGCCTTTCAAAAGAGGGTCAAGCAGATTTTGTCCTGCTCGCCTAGTCGCCCTTTCTCCCTTTCCTAGGAAACTGAGAGGGCTCCATATTCACAGTAGTTTGAAGCAACGAGAAGGGTTGTCCTTACAAAAGACTTGTGCACCCCATCATGTCCCCAGACCAGTGTTCCCTCTAAGCTGAGTTAGTGTGAGCTAGCTCACAGTTTTTTAGCCTCCGGCTCACACATTTTTGTCTTTGCTCAGGAAGGATGGCTCCAGAGCAAACTAATTGATGCAGTAGCCAAATCGCTCGCTCACAACTTTAATGCCAGTAGCTCACAATTTTTGCTCACAAGACTCCGCAGCTTAGAGGGAACATTGCCCCAGACCCCAGTTTGAGAAATGTTGGTCTGTGAAATGGATTCTTTCCCCATTACTAAGATTGGGTGGGATTATGGGGCACACATTACAAGGTTATACATGGCTTTGAGAAATGAAGCTTTGACTGTTCTCATCTTTACAAGTAAGCACAACTGAAATCTCATGGAAGGTCTGAGGAAAGCACGTACTGCTTCCAAAGTAGATCGGTGATTCACCCAGGAGAGACATCGGAAGGTGTTTCTCCTCTGCTATGCTTGTACTGGAAAGCATGTAACCATGTGTGTTTGCAATTGCATTTGTCTGTACTGTGCTAATGCTGTGTCTGTCAGATGTCTGTGTGTCTGTGCATTTGGGACTCAGGGATTACTGCTGTGTTTGCTGCAATGTTTGTATGCTTTGCTGTACATCTCCTGCCTGCACCTGGATGAGCAGGGCTGGTGTTGCCTGCTACAGGACACGTGCTTCCCTGCACCTTCCCAGAGTGCCTCTGGACAAAGAAGACCAGCGCCATTATGCACGATGAGAGACTTGGAGAAACAACAGGATTTCCCACCATTGCTGAGCTGTGGGAAACCACGTAACCCGGCCTCCTATCTGGTATTGGCATCACAAAGAAAACTTCCTTTATTGCTCATGGACCAGGCGCATCTCTCTGCAAGTCAAAGGTTGCCAATGGAAACGACGGTTTCACACCTGGCCACATGGCTCTTTTGAAGTTAGGGCAGAGCACCTGCATATTGCCCCTTCCCTGCATTAGGACGTCACAACTCTTTAACCTATAGCCATAGTAGAGAGGACGGACCCTAAGGGTTTATGGCCTTAAGCCAAGCCCAAAAACATAGCTTTTAAAAAGAGAAACACAGCCATTGTTTCTCTGGTTAACCCACCCCTCCCCTACCTTGCAACTTAAGTGCTGCAGGTGATTCTTACTGCGTTCCCGGGAGTCGCGACCCGAGAACCCGCACGTGGCTTGGCTGGACCAGCTCGTGTGTTTTTAGAATTCCACCCACTGATCCTTAAGC